GATCCAGCAAGGCACTCGCTGCCAATGGATCCTGATTCGGGGACCCTGCACCTCTTGGTTCAGCACCGCTGGCGTTGGTGTAATTCAGACGACACCAAACCCCCCCCCATGATCCCAAAGCTACGGAGCTGCCCCTTGCAGCCGCCCCACATCCGCCTGCAAACCCATGGTACCAGTAAGGAAACAGCAACAGAGCGCTGAAAACACTTGCCAAGAGTTAGGGAGGGGGTTAAACCTTGGCAGCTCCCCAAGGCAATTAGCTTCCTGGGTTAATTATTAGAATCAAGATTTATTTTGGGTTTTTCTGTTTGTTTTTTTTTTTTTTTTTTTAAATTTGGATCAGATTTTGATGCTCAAATGCAAATTGTGGATGGAAAAAGTGAGCAATGGTGAGCAAGGGAAAGCATACAATTTCACCAGAATGTTTTTTATTTGCAAATAATAATAATAATACCAATAATAGTAATAATAATAATAAAGAGAGAAATGAACACCTGTGCTGGGAAGGTATTAAGAATATAAATCAGAACTGTATCTCAAAAGATTAGAGGAACTCAGAGAATTAAATAGCGTTCATAAAAAAGTGAATGCACAAGTGGTGTGCACAGACCCTGTTTTCCAGTTGTCCTTGGGAAGCAAAGCGGCATTCGTACCCTCCTGATGGCCGTGCACTGGCATCCTGGAGGAGCACAGCCCCTGGGAGTGGGAAGGGCCAGACCCCGAAACATTTGTGTTTAAATAAATAAGTGCCCTCGGTCGCTGGGTCCCCAAAGTCACCGTGCCGGAGCAGCAGCGTCCCCCTCACTCCTGTCTTTGCAGGGACATGACCACACGAGCTGCCTGGAGGGGACGGATGCTCCGCAGTCATCCCACTGTCCGGGGTGGCAGAAACCCTCCGGATTCGGCTCCCATCCCGATGAAGCCTGGGCTCTGGAGCTGAGGGGGGGGGACTTTCCTTGGCGCTTTTTAGGCGGTCCGGACCTCCATGGCCATCTACCAAGCCCTGATCCCCGCTTGCACGGTGGCTTGCAAGCATGCGGGCTGGTGCTGAGCGGCGCCGGCCATGCCCAGGCTCACGTTCATGGCAGGGCTGCTGGGGGCGGTGTTGGGGGGCACCCTGGCGTAGTTCGCCCCGTAGCCACCACCATAGGGGCTGCTGCTATAGGCACTGTAGTAGGAGCTATAGGAGTAAGGGCTGGCGGTGATGCTGTACGGGGCTGGGTAAGGCTGGGACCCCCCCAGACAGGGTTTGCCGTCCCTGACCAGCACGGGCACTGCCACCCTGCGTGGGGGCAGCGGGTGGGCAGCCAGCTCCAGGGACTTATCCTGCCTTTGCCTCTTGCACTTGTACCTCCGGTTTTGGAACCAGATTTTCACCTGTGTGGAGGTGAGCTTGAGCATGCTGGCCAGGTGCTCTCTTTCCGGAGCGGAGAGGTATTTCTGTTGCTTAAATCGCCGTTCCAGTTCAAATACCTGCGCTTGGGAGAATAAAACGCGGGGTTTCCTCCGCTGTCGCTGCTTGGGATGGTGGCAGGGGTCGGCTTTCTTCTCGTCTGCCTCAAAAGGGTGGGCGAGCAAACATTTCCCTGCGGCAAAAAAACCCCAGAGCAAAGTGAGACCCAAGTCCGGTTCTGTTCCCAGTGAGAGGAGGGATTAAACTGGGAATGGGGACCCTTGGGTGTAAGACGGAGAAGGGTTGGTAGTTGATAAATTTAATATGAACTTTCCAGTGATGTTTAATGGGAATTCAAGAAAATTCCCTTTTTTTGGGTGGAATTAGAAGCCTGGCTATTAGGTGAATTTTGGATAATGCCTCCTTTCGGTGCCTCCTAACGATGCTGGTGCTTTTGTGGGTGCCCCAGCCTGGAGGGGCACAGGGAAAGTGGGGTGCGCCGAAGATTCGAGTACTCCAGAGCACAGATCCCATTCCCCACCGTCCTGCTCCAGAGGGATGGAGGCGATCGCAGTCAGACCTCTGGCAGGATTTACCTCCAGCGCCCGAGGAAAGGGGAATCCCGCAGCTCTCTGAATTTCAGCAAAACCAGAAAAACGAAGGGGCTGGGAACGAAGGAGGAAAAATTGTTGGATCTGAGAGAAGCTGCAAAAAGATGCGAAGTAGTTGTTGGTTTTTTGGTGGGGGTTTTTGGGGGGGTTTTGTTGGTTTTTTTTTTTTAATTTGCTGGGGTTTTGCGTCGCGGCTGAGCACAGCGATCGCTCCCCGGCTGCTGGGATGCACTCGGGTACCCTGGCAGCCACAGCAGGGGCTCAGGGAATTTGGGGGGCGGGCTGCGGGGAAATGGGGTGCTGGAAGGCTCCGTCTGCAGGTGTGAATGCGACAGAGAGTCCTCCCCGGGCTCCTCTCGCCTTCTCCGGCTCTCTAGCTTTGTATCCCAGTGCCGCCCAGTGCCCAGGCTCCGGTCCTACTGGTTTCCCCGTTTCTCCGCTCTGCATCCGTCGGGTATTTAGGAAAAGAGGAGCAGAGCAAACTGTCGGATTTCAGCCGCGGGGACACGAGGGGCCGGGGC